AAGGGGCTGCTCCGAACCTGGCTGGGGAGGGCAGCTCCCATCCAGCACACCACCAGCAAAGGGACTCCACACTGGCTGTGAGCAGCCAGCAGTGGAAGTCTGCAAATAGGCAACAAAGCCACCATCACACGGAGCCGGAGCATCCTTGGTGGTTGACATCTGGCTTTGAAGGGTCAATTTAGAACGTATGGTGCAGGGAAACCGCACAGCTACCAGGTTTGCTTAATATATGTAGGTTCCCCCATTTGCTTTTGCCTCTCCCACCCTTTGGTACTCTGCAGAACACTCAAGCTTTGTAAAGAAAGAACAGACTCCAACCTTCATCAGCAAAACTGGATCAAGTCTTTGTACCACTGAAATCATAAAATAAACATTTCGTAGCCAGACTGGCAATTGAAAATGGCAAGATGAAAAAGATTCCTGTCTGAAATGGAACTAAACAAAAGATTCCAGAGTTTGGTGGTGGGATGCTTCTGGGCTGTTTGTTGCTGTTTCACATTAGTCTCGTGTAAAGGAGGGTATTCTTCCTTCAAATTCTATTCTAGCAGTAATCTTGATTTTAAGATCTTTAACTCCATTGATGAGAGGAAAAATTTTAAGCATAAGAAGAATACTAACCAAAGCCCAGAATCTGACCACCTGTCCTCCAAAGAACTAAATGGATATATGTGACAAGCAGTTAGCTTAAAGATTCCTCTAGCAATTAATATATAGGAAAAAGAACAAAAGAAAAAGAATAGATTACATTTACATTAATTTAGTTGGCGAGTTCTTGGTACACAAGCAAGGAGATCTCACCAAAGTTGCTAAATTTTAATTCTCAAGTCAAGTCATTAGAATCTTTTAATTGTGAAAGTGTTTGTTGTTATGTTGATAGGGTATCATCAGAAACAACTGTCTGAAACTGAAAATTCTTATACACAAATTTTATACAAACTTAAGGATCAGCGTATATGTTTGCTGGCTTCAGAATAACAACAGAGCTACTTCTATTTCCAAAGAAAAAATATCAAATTAGGATTCTCAAAATTTTTAACCTTTACTGGAAACAAGAAAACTAATGTTTTTGTTTGCACTGCTTCAGGCAAACAGTATTGCTCACACTTGACCACTTATCTTTTAAGTCCTTCAGTTTGGGGAAGCAAGGCCTCTCACGTGGCCTAAAGCCAGCCTGCATCAAGGACCTCTGTTACAAATAAAGTGGTTAAAAACAGATGGTTACAAAAGTCAAAATCCTGAAAAAAATAAAGAGCAGTTAACACTGCACAATTCATTAAGATTCTCATGATAAAGGAAGAAAACCACAGATGACCCATAGACCGAGATGCTGACGAATGATCTGCTCACGAACAGCGGGAAGCATGGAGAAGCCTGCTGCTCACACTCCCTGCACAGAGAGCAAAGCACTGCACACTGTGAGGTGGTGAGGTTTCGGCTGGCGAGAGTAGAAAAGTTAAGGAAAAAAAGAAAGGAGTCACTGTTGGAAGAGTCCCAGTGGTAAACAAAGTAAATCAGGATGCGAACGCTGCTGCTGCAATGCACAGTTTTCAGCGGGAGTAAACTTCTGAAGGGGAATGTGAAGGTGGCCCTCCCACTGGGCTAGCTAACTGCACCACGGCTTCAGCTATCTTTGTCACAAGCCACAAGGGGACACAACCCACAAAGTCAGGAGCCCGTGTCACACCAACTTAATAGCAAAAAGTAAGTGCAGAAGTTCAAAAAGTGAGACTTGTGTTTCTGACAGCAAAGTTAATAAAGAAAGCTTTGAATTTCCCCAGTTTTTTTCTGATGGTATGTTATACCTCCTGATCAGAAACAAGATTTCTCGTTCCTAGTCTTTGACTTTTCTTCTTTGAAGTTTTAAGGCAATTGTTTCTCCATTGTAAAGCGTTGAATAATAATTCAGAAGATTTTTGACTGTGCTGTATTTACCTATATTCTCTTGTCTGTAGCACAATCACAGGAGAACCCCAGCAAAAAGAAAATTATTAATAAAGAATAACATGTCCTCTGATATTTGTCTAATAACAATGAAAAATAAGTGTAACTCTAAACAACCCTGGTATTAAAAACCACTTACCTGCTTTTTACAAACGCAAGCTCAGGAGTTAATTTTAATACACTATACCTTAAGGTTTAAGTGAGATAGACCTCTGGTCACAGTGAAATAGACCTACAGTGATTTACTTCACCAGCTAAGGCATTTTCCACATACAAATAAATAAGGAATTCTCTCTCCCCAAGTATACAGGCTTGGTTAGGGCAGAATCAGAATGCAAAAGCTTCTGTCGCCAGTCCCTCTGGCCCAACCTTTAGGGCACTACCTGGCCCCCCTACTTCCTCCCTATTGCTTTTGCATCCCTTCCCTCATGACACTGGGGGGGTGCTCAGCTCCCCAGGGGTGCTCCTGCCTCCTTACCTAGCACTGGAAGGTAACAGCAGTAGCACACTGCAGGGATGCAAGGACACGAGCAGGAACCTCCACATTTGTTATTTGTTATTGTTTGAATAACAAACCGAAGGACTAGACATCAGACTCCGCATATGCCTTGTTAAACCGGGCTTATACTAGCTGTAACGCTCATACTGCTGTAAGACATCGGAACTCTTTAGCGGTCCCATTTAAACTGAGACACAGGTTTGGACTGTGGTATAGGTCAGGATGATTTTCTGTATGCTAAAATGATAAAGCAACAGCATTACACGTTCAGCATCCTGTCTCAGAGTTCGTACCTCCTGGAGAGACACGGTGCAGTTTACAACTCAGCTGCAAGTGCAATCTAGGACAGACTCACATACAAGCTTGTATGTTCAGTTACCTTCACAATCAATAGAGACAAAAGCGTGAAAGGATGCTTAGGCCTCCTCTGCCTGCAAACCTTCCTCGGTCTGATTTAAAGATGTATATTTATTGAAAGTATAAGCAAGAGCGTAGGTAACTAAGTGAAACTGACGTAAATCTCTCGAAAAACACTTGCGTCCATAGGCACACAGATGCATGCCTGTGTAATTAGCCGTGCTAAACAAACCGCCAGTTATAGGAATTAGATTTCTGAGCTCACAGCAGAAAGGGCCTATGCAACACCCACGGTGACCAGCAGCCACCCCGCACCTTCCTCACAGCCGCAGGCAGCTCCAGGCTGACCGCTGCTAGATAGCGACGCTGCAACACAAAGGTGGGAAGGCTGGGGGCAATGACTACTCCTGGGAAGGGCTAACTCTGTTACACAAGCCAGTGCCAGTCCAACTCTAAATTGGGCTGAAATCTGGCAGAGACGTTTTGTTGTTTGAGCAACAGGTTGCATCCAAGTTCATGGGATGCCTGTTAGGGCCATTATATAAATGTAATTCAGTAAAAAGCTGCACGCAGACATGGCCTTCACTCCTGAAGCACCATTCCACAAGTAGGCTGAGTGCCATGGAGCAACACAATATTAGGTACTGAGTAAAGAGTTGTTCAACACTTCCTAGAATTCTTTCTAGAAGAAATAACTACAACTAAAATGACCACCTTCTTTCACACTTAAAGTAGTACACTTGCCAGAGAAAATTTTTAAAGATGCTGACCATGACAACTGATCTTCTCCATATCTCTCTTACAGTGCACCTATGATCTATGATCCACATGGAACAGAAAGTATGGCTGCTCTCTATTCATACTCTCACATTCATCATGAGTATATGTAAAATACTGTGACAGAGGTAAAGGTAGTGTTAAAAAGTATATTGGTTAGGCATCTTCTTGCCCCAGTTAGGCCAACAAAAAGACTAAAAAAAAAAAAAAAAAAGGCAGCTAGGTTTTCATTACCTCAATTCACGTAAGTGAAAATAACCACCTAAAAAGATGACCAGTTTCAACAGAAAATCATGTCTTTTACATTGAAATTTCAGTAGAGCAAAGCAAAAGTGAATCACTGAAACAATACTGTCTTCATTGTAAGAAATATTAAATATCCTTTTTCAAAGAAATCTCATGATTCTGAATGTAATATGGGTGTGAACATCATTACTATAAAAAATATCATGGGGCAGATGTTGCAGAAGTTTCTTCAATGAAGACACACAAGAAGAGTAAACAGCTGCCAGAGGTAAACTAGAGGATTTCTGGGATTCGTCATAGTCCTGCTTTTCAATGATTCTAAGAAAAACTGACTTCTTCAGACCCTTTTGAATACTTTTGCCCAAGAGTCAACAGATACTATGCAAGTCAACTGTGTATTAAAAAAAAAAAAAAAAAACAAAAAAACCACACCTCAGTTTGGTTATGGAATTACCGTTAACAGACTTAAAAAGTAGTTCTCTCTATAAATCTACCTTCTCAATACTCCCAATTCAACCAGCTTGTCTTGACTTTATTCTGCTGAACAGCTGAACTACTGAACACAGCATCACCGTTCTTATACTGTCATGGCCTGTCTTTCTGCCTCTCAAGCTGACAACATTCAGTGCTTAAGTAATTATCTTAGCATATTTGTAAAAATAATAGTTTATACACAGTCATCTGAAGTGACCTAGGCACATATTGAAACACTGGCATTTTACTATGACCATATACAGTTTTACCACTGAGGTGCTGAATAATTCCATTCCAATATGATTACGCATTCAATTTGCTTGATTCTTTGATTTGTTTTTTAATCACCAACTTAAGCTTCTGTAATTTTTGTTGACATTGCACTTATTTTCTTGCTCTCACATATCTACACTAGAGCATAAGACCTTACTTCTAAACAAGACACTAAACAGGGTCATTAATTAGAAAACTAATTTAATAAACAAGTAGATACAAAAATGTTCCACAAGCATGAGCAGAGAAAAATCTTTGTATGCTGGCACTATTTAATTAACATAGAGAGTCTTGTTTTGTAATTCACAGCAATGCCTACCCAAGGCAAAAAAAACATCTATGTTTGGTCACTGACAGAGAATTTTAGTAGGTATGTAGGATAATACACATTGACTCAATACATTGAATTTCTTAGAAAATGAGCAGAACTTACAGAAAATGATGAGCCATCCTTTGAAACTGCAACTGGGTAAATTCCATCTCCTAGACGTACAGAGAGCTCCCAGCTACTTTGCTTTGATTTAGCAATAGGAATTCTAAAAAAGAAACAGACGGAAGAAGAATTTTTAACAGAGATTTCATGCTTCTCCCATTTTAACCAGAAGCACTTGCCTCATAGGATGGTCATGAAGGATATAAAATATCATTAATCTATAGACACAGTTGGAGAGCATACTTGAAAAAAAAATACTAAATACCTTTTTCTGTCAAATGGCATATAAGGAGAAAATACACTCTACTTTCTTTCTAGATTGCCTTGACGCACTGGGTATGCTGATAAAGTTATAGGAGGCTCTTGAATACAGCCAGCGCTTGCTGCAGAATTAGCTCAAACAGGATGAAAAGCAGTTGAGAAAGTGGGTTGGCAGGAGAATAGCAACGGTGATAGCTGGAGCATTCTTTTTAAGGGCAAAATATAATCACTATTCCTTTCATCTCATTCTCAGTAAACCTTCATTAAAGGCCAATTACAGACAAAAGACTCAGCCAAACAAGTAATACAAGTAATTTTATACTTAATATACATTTTAGAGTATCTCATCTACAGAGCCCTTCAAGCAAACTGAAAAAATAATGATGTATCATCACAGCCCACATGCAGGATTCCTATTCCTGCAGCATTCTGTGGCTGCACCAGTTACCAGGTAATACAAGAAACCTGAATCTTTTCAACTTTAGCTTAAAGAAGCACACCTGACAGCAAAAGAATGAGACCTGAGTCTTCATTCTTGGAAATTCAGCGTGAAACAAGTGATTTTCAGCTATTTTATTTAAATATATATTCGGTTTCAGTTTCCTCATCCTAACTTCTCAAGTCTCTTCCACTTTCTTGTAACAACTGGTGTCCGAAGGTATGTTACAACTTTTCTGATATGTGGTTGTCATATATTAGTATCAGCAAACACCACATAGCCTAAAGAGAAGGTACGAAGGTGGAGTTTACACTCCATTAAAACAAAGACACATTATTTTGGTATAGCTTTTCTTCCACGCTGACTCTTACACATGTTTAGATTCTCTGTAAGAAATCTAGAGAGATAGTAACTTCATCACCTTTAGGTCTCCTCTGAAGGATAATTTCTGCTATGATGTTCATCTATTGTACATTATAGAGCTTACTACGCCATGTTACTGCAGCCTTCAGAGTCTTAAAACTTGGAAACACATCTTTTTGTGTTATGCCACATGCATCCTCCTGAGGATTCAGGTGCCCAGTGAACCACATCTCCCCAAAGGGAGTGCTCAGGTTCCCTGTGGAATCAACAGGGAGAAGCACCTGCGAGGCCTCCAGAGGCCACAGGAGGAGAAACGATCTGCCTGAGCCAAGGATAACACACTGACTTGCTAAGGATTTTGACAATTATTTTAAGAGATTGGGTTTTTAGACACCTGAAATCTAAGCAAGTACAAGTGCAGGTACCTAGTTAGGCAAGGAGTTTCCAAAAATTGTGCCTTGCAACATGCCTGCAAAGAGGAAATGGAAACACTAAACATATTAGCTAGACAAATAGATGCATAGTTATCATTAGTTACTTCTGGATCCACACCAAGTAAGGCCTACACCAGATTTCACCAAACATCTTAGCTCACCTCTAACTATCACTACCCATAAAGTTCATGAAAACAGATATTGAAAATAACCTGTTCCCATACTAACAATGCCGAGTGTTACCTTTCGCATTTAATATACCATGACAAGTGTCAAAACAACAAATCTGAGGAAATATCTATGTCTTATTGGGTGCAATGACATTTCTCACCACCTCATCTTGAAATTCCTGTATGTGACCAAAACGTTTAGACTGGCTGATAGGAAACACGGCAGACACGGGAGTTCCTGAAGAAGAGGAACAGGAATTTCCTGCACAGGTAGCAGGCAGCAAGCTGAGCGATGTTTTCATTGCACTTCCTGGTATCAGAGCCCCAGTAAGGAGGAATGTAGCAGGGTTTTGGCAGGGCCTGGCTAAATTCTCCACGGCACTCCCCTGCAGCAGCCAAGAGGATTTAGTGGTTTATAGCAACTTCATATTTCTTGTATAAGAGGTAAGACCTCATCCCAAATGTAGCTTAGGAGATCGCTTCACTGGTGGCATGAGATTCCTTACAACCTTGCTGGCACGGCCCTGCTTCATACTGCATTTGACTGGAAGTGACCTCATGAATCTGGCTGCTGGCCATCAAAGGAAAGACAGTCTTGTTCTCCAGCAGGGATTATTTTTGTTCGGTCCTGTCTTGCTGAGCTTTGTCAAGTGTATCTCCAAACAGGATGCATGCCTCTTGAAAGGCATGACTATGATCACTGCTTCGCCTGGGTTTCAAACAGCCACACAGGCATATAATTCCTCTCTCTACAACACTGGTGGTCAGGAGGGCAAGGTCCAGAGCTGCATCTAATACCAAGCACGCGGCAAGTTGTACTTCCCTCCTGGAATTGCTAGATCCATTTGCACAGGGACATTTTTCAGCTTTGCTAATCAAGCGCCTGTGACTTTGTAACTGTAACCTACAGCTACACCGGCCAAGACAGATACTTACATTAGCTCATAATTATCCTACTTTTTCTTCATTAAATCAAATTCCTTTCAAATAAATTATCTTGTAGTAGACTCCATTTTGATGGGATTCAGAGGGTGGGTGGGGTTTTTTTCATATTAGTAAGGATCACAAAGTCCAAAACTAAGGATCAAAGTCCAAGTTCCTTGGATATGAAAGGAAGTTGCTCAAGTCTGTGAACTACTTTAGAAACGCGGAAGTTTCTATCAGGCTAAGAAAGGGGCTTTTTGGTGGGTTTTTTTGTTGTTGTTTTGTGGGTTGTTTTTTTTTTAATGTCTGAGAAGTCCCAGTGCATGGGAAATAATCTCTTTGTTCTTGGCCAAGCTTGCTTCCTTAGCTGAGAACTCTTCTAAGTCCTCCAAAGGGAAAACATCTGGACTTCTGAATGTATTTTCCATGAGTTCATGGAAAACTCCCCAAACTTCTGGCTATTTTCAAAAATGTGTAGCTTTTAAAATTCTACATACTTGGCTGAAATCTGACATATTCTATTTACAGAAAAAAAAACTGAAAGAAAAAATAATGTCATTTTTACCATCATAAAAGACACAAAAACTTAAGGCACTTCCCCTCCAACCCTAGATTCAGAATCCACGTAATATGTCTTTCATAGGGTTCAACACTCCTTCCCTTTCTTCTCCCAGTTTTAGCAAATGACATATCATCAAAAAAAATACTTTCTTTACCTATAAAGATCACCGACTGCAGGAAGAAACTCAAGTTTAGCAGCAAGATGAGTGCCAGGTGAATGGGAATCAGGGCCACAGAGAGCTGTGCGCTGTTGTCCCTTGCCAGCAGTATTGCACACAAAGAGGAGAGAGCAAAGGCAGCACCGCAGCCACAATGACGGAAGGCGGGTGGAGAAGGGTGTTATGAACTCCCTCCATACAGAAATGGGTAGTTCTGAACCTCTCTACTCCATACTGCGTTCTAAAAGGACGTATCACGAGCAATCAGGGCACAGGTGAAGAGTATGGTCATGGCCTGGCTCTAAGTCATCAAGGCATTACTCTAAAGCATCAAAGTTATAAAAACATGTAAATGGTGCAAGAAGAGAAACAGCAGTGTTTGCCTGCTTAGTTATTTATTTATTTTCAACCTCTTTTGCTGTTTTTTCAACTACAAATGATGTCATGGTCTCATAATTTATTTCATACATTGCACAGTGTATTATGTCCTTTTCACCCCCAACTGCCGTGATAGAGAGAGAGGGAGATACTGTATAATAATGCAGCAATTACAGCCCCTGCTTTCTTTGCAAGTTTTCAGTGAGGAAAGCAGACAATTGCTAAAAATTTTAGATCAACACACACTTACTGTGCTCATGGAAAACATAGCTAGTTAAACTATTATCTACTCTAGTCAAAAACAAGTAAAGAAAGAAAACAGACATTCACAAAAGCAAGTCAAGTAATAACTCTGCCCCAGCCCGTCCATTTTGATTGTCATCAACCAATCAGATAGAAGGAACTCAATAAAACTACCATTTTCTGCAGTTTGTGGCAAATAAACTCCCCTCTCCCGATTACTGTTGATGATGTAATGAGCTATGATAAATGTCACCAGCTCCTAAAGGGTCAGGAAATTGAGTATAGATTTTTTTTACTTCCAATTCAAAATGTGAGTTCTAACACTGGGGGAAAAAACTTACAAATTCTCTTTACTTCTGATATATTTGCTGCATAATAGTTTACGTAAACACAAATGCTGAACTATCATAACAAATTCTCCCGTTATGAAAGATTACAAGCATTTGAAAACCACATTATATGACACTCTGTAAAGCTGTTTTTCAATTGTGCAATTACCTATTCAGCAGTTAAATAAAAGTGAAATATTGACTTAAAACAATGTTAATGGTCAAAGAATCATTAAGAAATCCTTCATCATAACTTTCACAGCTGGTGGCCTGTAAAATGATCAAGAATAATGTGCTGGATTCTGTAGCCACCAAGGTCAGTTTCTGCATACAAATCTTTGCAGGGGGAGAAAAAAAAGACCTTCAGAAAGTGGGCCATTCATCTGAACCAAGTTCAGAGAATTTCCAGCACTGTGAAAAGATATGTTATGCAAGCACATAGATGTATTCAGTGGGGGTAGACTGAACCAGCTACATGGAGACTACAAAGGAGCCCTCCCATGGCTCATGAATAAGTCGAGGAAATGATCAGAAAAAAATGGAGAGATGTTTAGACAGATGGCCCACTTAAAATGCCTGGGACAGGGCATAAGCAATTTTAATGAAACTTTAGATCTACCATATAAATTGTTTCTTATTTTCTCTGCCCTCCCCCCCCCAAAAAAAACTCAAGAAAGGCAAATAGAAATTTAACAACTCAAACAAGAGCCTATCTTATGATGTAAAAAAAGGAAAAAAGGAAGTAAATCTCATGTTTTTAAGCATTATTGGTTTAATAAGTTCATATACAAAGAAATATCCTTCACAGAACCTTCAACTATCAGATGAATATAAAAGCAGGGA